CAGGGCATGTAAACTGCAACCAAATTGCATGTGAGGAATGTATTTGTATACCTAGTTGTACCTCCCCATGGAGCTAACTCAAAATCTGTGGACTTGAGGCAATGTTTCTGGATATTCTACATGACAAATTGAGTTACTATGTCACCTGCCAAATGCTCAGTTACCATATGAGTTAAACCCACTGCCCATCCTGGATTTCAGAGCTCATACAAACATCCCAGCCATTACATCTTGGGATCAATAGGCTATAGGTCTATAAGACTTCCCAGGCCAATCATTCAGTCTTCCTGTGGGGTAATACCATCTTCCCTATGCACTTAGAGAGATCCCTGGTAACTTGTGTGTAGAGAAGAAAGAAGTTCCTGTACTTATATTTTGGGTACAGACAAAAATACCTTTGGACGCCCTGAACTGAGAAAGACAGGGTGTGTTGTGGTTTGAATCAWAAATGTTTTCCAAATGCCCATCTGCTAAATGTTTGATGACCARTCTTTGTTGCCATTGGGAGGGTGGAACCTTTGGAGGTGGGAACCTTTGAGGAGGAAATTAGGTCACTGGGAGTATGACCTTGAAGGGGGCATATTKGAATCCAAGCCCCTGCCCCCTCTCTCTTTTTTTCTGGGCCACTATGAGGCAAATAATCCTCTTCCACTATGTTCTCCTACTATGATGTWTTGTGTAGTCACAAGCCCAAAGTGACAGGGTTMAATGAYCTTGGACTKAAACCATGAGTCAAAATAAACTTTTCCTCCTTATAAGTAGTTGATCTTAGGTATTTTGTCATACTGGCAGAAATCAAACTAACACAGGTGAATTCACCCCTGCCCTATTACCACTAACTACTCTCAGATTGATTTTGTTCCCCTAAGACTTTTCATTCTACACAGGTGAGGAGTTTCCAGAATCCACTGCCTTAGAATAGTCTCCTTCTCTTAGCCCAATATCAGCACTTTTGGTCCTAAAGGCTTATTGACACTATCTTGTTCCCAGCCTTCCATCACTTCTGCCTATACYCTTAGTCTTTCTTGAGGTCTCTGATATACTGATTCACCAGTCAGTTTTGGTTTCGTGAACTTCATCCTTGACTCATACCAGGTGGGAAGGGTATTTGGAAACATATTTTATCTTTTTATAAAGATTAATTTTTGGAGAAAGAGAARAAACTAATATGAACATTATTTCTTTACCAATTATGTAGCAATAATTGTGCCTGGTAGTTTGCATACATTATTTTAAATACTGGAGTTAGATGTTATTAACCTTTAGGATGATATTAAATGCACTCTGATTTACTGGATTTCCAAACAAGGGTGAAATACTTAAGGTCTTATAACATAATAAAGACATTAAGATTTATGAATCAACTTATTAATCAAGAAGTATTCATGTCTACCCAGCCACTAATGACCTTTTTGAAAATGAAGTTATGAGCACATTATATTTCAGCACCAGGGAAACTTCCCTAAACATCCAATGATATATGCAAATTTTTGTTTTAATGGGATTTTTAGATAACAACATTAAATGTTTGATACATTATTTGGTGCCTTTGTAAAAGTGAGTTCTAGAGTATAAAATTCCCAATGAAAAGATGCAAATGCATGGTCTTACAACAAACCTSAGATACTTGTATGTACTTTTTCAAATCCATACTTATTTATAGAAACAATCAGCACATGTGCCACATGGAATAAAACCATGGTAGTAGCCAAGACTTGCCTATCCAAAATTACTATTTGTTTCTTCCTCAATAAATACACCAATATTATTTGCAAGCCATTATRTAAGAGAAGTAAGCACTCAGCCAGGAGGATGAGGACAAAGCTATGTGAGTCCTGAGTTAACAAGATCACRTTAGATACTTGTAATACAACAGCAAGGGAAGGTTCATTTATTTTCTGGGAACCTGTCAGGATATAATTTTGATATGGTGGCTGGCCACATTTCTGTTATTCTGATTCAAGTAGAAAAATCTTTGCAAATCCACAAAAAGTATTGTTGAAATACTGCAAAGGGGAGAATTCCATTCAATGCAATTTAGAGTATGCATTAAATATTTTTGAAATGTGAGTATAGAAACTCTGGGTCATTGGAAGATAACTTTAAAGGGGGTCTAAAGGTAAAAAAGATAAAGACTTCTGAACAGCCATTATATTTAGTAGAAACATGAGAGTTTTYTTTATTCTATGCCTTATAGATCAAATGGTTTTAGAGTGGGGTGGGAGACAGTTGCTGAGGGCTTATTGAAGTTAACTGCAAGGAACTCCAAAACTACTTTTTTTTTTTAACTTTCAAGTTATCATTTAGATGCAAATAAATGGAGTCAAATAGGTCATTACAGTTTTTATGTAGTTGAATCCAGAAACTTGAGTAAATGTTTTATTAGGAGTTTCTCACATAGAGATATTTGCCTGAGAGTTTCCCTTTTCTTCTGGCTTTTGTCATTCTTCTTTCATCTCTGCATGGATTCATGACTTGGAATTGCCAATAAGAATGGACTTCTAAGGAGTGACAATTTTTTGAAAGATAACTACTGAAATTGCCAATCATATTTTTTCAAGTTCAAGTCTCATTATTTACAAACCATGTTTTCCTAAGAGGGTTACTGTTTCCCTTTAAATAATGTTTTTATTAACTAGAGTCTTCATCTAGTTTCAGTCCCATCTGTGCCAGACTATTCTGAATTGTGTTTTTAAGGGAGAAAGTCCATTAACTTAATTTTAATTTTATTCAGTCTTTATTAAAAAAACATGTAAGCATAAAATTAAATCTTTCTTAATCTACTTGCAGTATTTAGGTTATAGCCTATGTACAAATTTCTCCTATTGAGTCTCTCCCATTTTGTGACAATTTTATAGACTAGTTTCACAGACTCCCTACTGATTTTTCACTAATGTTGGTAAAACTTTTTCAGAATTTGAATTTATGGATAGTAATTAGTGAGCACTAATAATCTTGTTTTTAAATAGCCAGAGCCTGCAATGTCTTGGTATAAGCAGAAGCAAAGAGGTCAGACCCATCTCCTGGCTGGGCAACATTTTGAGTTACTGATGCAAGCAACCCTTGAAGTGAGTTTTTTTTTCTTACCCAGGGTCCATGGATGAGCTCCAGSACTAAGTCTGAGAATGTTTTGACATTTAGCACAAGTGTTTCCTATGTGAGAGTGCATATGGGTTTGCACAGTTTTACCAAAAGAAGTAATGTTATTGACCTAATGCTAGGTCCTTGTCTCTGATGTCAATTCAATAATGAGGACACAATTTTGAGAAAAGGGAAAAAGTAGTTTTATTGCTTTGCTAGCAAACAAAAAGCACAGGAGACTCCTGTCCCAGAGGCCTTGATTCTGCCCATCAGGGAGAGCAGAGGGTTTTTAAAGAAGTAATTTATTCCAGGTGTTCAGYCTGTGTGATTCACTTGTTAATTTGGGAGAGAGGAGAAAACATATCTGTTTTAAGATAAGCCCAAATACATGTATGAAAACACGAATGGTGTAAATCTACTTTGTATACAACCAGAGATATGAAAAAATTGTGCTCTATATGTGTAATATAAATTGTCATGCATTCTGCTGTCATATGTAACAAATTAGAATTAAAAAAAAAGATAAGCCTTAGGGACAGAGCAGCAAGGGCTATATTCAAAGCATAAAGTGGACCACTGTTACAGTAAGAGGTACGGACAGGTGTATAAGGGGCCCTGAAGTCATACTGTCTGGATGTTTGCTGGTGGGATGTTTGAGCATGTAATCATGTGACATATTGAGCATTTTATTCTGAAGGATTTTAGAAATAGCAGGTATGGGAAAGACTCTCCGACCTTTTCCAGAGTCAGGTCATAAGATTCTTATGCCCTCCATTAACCCAAAGGACAGGAACATCCTTATCTATGAATATGGAATGCTGAGAGGAATCTGAACAATCAAGTCTTGAATTCTGGGTTCCCCCTCCCCCCACCACCCTTAGGTCACATCCCATTATCCCATCATATTTTTTCCATGACTCTTCATTTTTTTAATCAAATCTAGTATAAAACCACTCAAGTTCAACCATTTTCTTCAGGTCCTCATTTCCTTATGAGGTCTCCCATCATGTAAATCTTCTATTAAGTAAAGTTGGATGCTTTTCTCTTGTTAATCTGTCTTTTATTACAGAGTCCCAGCTGAGAACCTAGAAAGGGTAGAAGGAAAAGATTATTTTTCCTTCACTTTAATCTCTACCCAACCACTTGGCTGTGTGACTTCAAACAATACTCGTGACCTGTCTCTTTTTCAATATTCTCAAGACTGMAGAAGTAATCTTAAGGGACTTCTGTGAGAATAAAATGTGAGGATTTATGTAAAGTCCATAATGCAGCRACAGGCACCTAATACATGTTAATAATTATATCTTATTCTCAAAAGAATATGTAAGGTCAGAAAGTTAAGAAACACTGACCATGGGCTGGGCTCTAGCTCAGTGGTAGAGCACTTGCCTAGGACATGAGAGGCTCTGGGTTTGCGCCTCAACACCACATTAAAACATAAATAAATAAATAAATAAATAAATAAAAGATATTGTGTCCATCTACAACTAAAAAAATGTAAAAAAAAAAGAAAAGAAAAAAGAAAAACATTGACCATAGGTATTTTTAGAATTGTGCTTAAAAAATCAGTTCCTGTTTGAGAAGTCACACTTAAGCCTAACTCTAACAGAAATATTAATTAGTAAAACATAGAAATGTATATTCATAGCAAGGCAGAAAGTCATCTTTAAATAGTTCTGAAAATGTGAAAGACCAATTTGTGTTGCTTTTCAATGGGAGAAAAACAATCTACTTGGTYTGGACTGGCCTGGAGGTGAAGGACTTTCAATCTGCTCTTGGCTGCTATAACCATCCAAGTTGTTCTTGAAACTCTGAAATTTAGCCTAAATTGATAGTCTAAATTGAAAATCTATGACTTTGAATGCATTCTCATMCTTTTCTTCTACTGTTGTATGGAAGAGAAAAGTTGCGAAAGCAAGGAGATTCTGCATCTTTTAATGAAAGATAAAACAACAATATAAACATACACAAATTTACAGAGAAGGGTTCAACTTTGATACATTTGGAGTAAAAGGTGTTTCTTATTTAAATATGGTATAAAAATAAATGCAAGAAACATTAACTGAGAATGTACAGACATCAGACAAAGACATGAGCTTGTTTCAGACTTGAATACATCAGTGGCATGAAACTTTCTGTGCTAATTTATTGTTTAATAATTGTGAAGCCATATGTATACTTATTGATATATGTTATTTTTTTTTTCTTTTACAATTCTTCCAGTTTGTGAATGACTGAATTTTTAGTGAACTGTGTGTCTAGCAGAAGCTTTAAGAGAAAGAAAGGGAAAAAATAGTTTTACTTTACTTAAACTTGCTAAAAAGGAAAAGACACAGATCCAGCTTAGTAGAATAGAAGGAGGAAGAAAGCAGACAACAGTTTGAAATGGAGGCATCGAGATGGCATAGGGTCCCTTGGAGATAGCAAATGCCTTAATGTGCACACAAAATAGAACAATTCAGGTCCTTCATTCATGCAACATCTTGGTCTAATGTCCTCTGATCCAGGTAACAATGACAAGCTACAAAGTATGTGCAATGATTCCAGTCTGCTTCCATGCTACAAGATGATCCATTTAGTAAGACTGAACAAGGCTTGTTAACCTCTTGGATGTGAGAGACTTCCCCTGAGGAAAAAAATATAAAACAAAACAAAACAAAAAAAGAAAGAAAATAAAGGATGATCACTGAAAACCTGCTTACTAGTAGTATCCATTTATTGTGGATTTTTTTTTTTTTTTTGCAAGGGTCAAAACTGAACCCTTTTTACTTGTAGGGCTGGGATCGAACCCAGGGCCTCACACATGCTAAGCATGTGCTTTACCACTGAGTTACAWTCCCAGCCCTCAAAACTGAATCTTTTAAGTACATCTTAGTTCAAACATCATGATGAGCCTTCCTCCCCTCCCTTCTGCCACCAACACATCAAACAAAATGATTTTCCCTCCCCCTCCCCTCATCCACCTCCTTCCCACTGCAAACAGACTGATGGTTTCACAGCACAGATTAGCAAATCATAAAACATGTCCATAAACATTCCATCGAGGCTTAGCAATGAGGCAATACCTAGGTTCCCAACTGGTTAGAAACATGTTACAATAAATCTTAGTAAGCTGCTCTGAAGGATAATAATGTAAATGCATTCTGTGAATTGGTTGTTGAATTTATAAATATTGAAAAATAAAGGGGGGATGACTTAATTAAATAAAATGCACTTTGAGAATGTGATTGGTGGAAACTCAAGATTGAGTCTATCCCCAACCTTCTATAGTTAATGGAGGAAAAAATGCTAATTGTACATCTAGAGACAGAGGTCTATTCCCTGTTTCATACAATTACCACCTTTCKGTCCTTTCCTGCCTGACTTCCTCTAATGCTAACCCCAGAAAAATATGATATAATTCTGGTTCCACATATTGTTCTGATACATTGAGTACATATTCTTGTTCTTTTTTTTTGAAATTTTAAAACCAAATTGTTCCTGTTAATTATAAATACTCTAGGAAGATAGGAATTTGTTTGACATTTTTTTATCAGAATATAGGTTGTTGATTGGTGGTTTCTATTTCATGTCCAGTGTGTGTGTGTGTGTGTGTGTGTGTGTGTGTGTGTATGTTTTACTGAGGATTGAATCCTGGGGTTCTCTACCACTGAGCTACATCCACAGTCCCTTTTAGTTTTTATTTTAAGTTTCTATGTTGCCCAGGATGACCTGGAACTTGCAATCTTCCTATCTCTGCTTCTGGAGTAACTCAGACATACACTACCATGCCCAGCTCATTTTTAATTCTATACATTCTAATATAAAAAGAGTCATTTAATTTATTTAATTGATTCTTTTGCTTCCCAAAGGATAAAGCAATRAGGAAAAATTAAGAGAGTTTTTGAGGAATATAGTATTTTGGTAATAAACTATAATTAGAACAATCTTGATTTGCTACCTAATGTGGCTCATGTTTTGGTAAAGGGGTGGGTGATGAGGAGAAAGAGATCATGACTCAGGGCCATTTTCTTAGTTTCTTCAAGCTGCTGTAACAAAAACCCATAGACTGGGTGGCTTCACAAACTGGAAATTTATTTTTCACAGTTCTGGAAGCTAGAGTCTAAGATTAAGATTCTTGCATATTTCTGTTCTCTTCTAGTGTCTAGCTGGTGCAATCTCATTGTGTTCTCACCTGATGGAAGGGATAAGTGAGTTCCCTGGTGCCTCTTTTATAAGGGTATTTGTCCTATTCATGAAGACTTAGCTCCCCCAAAGTCCCATCTCTTATAACCATCACCTTAAAGTGTTAGAATTTAACATGTTCAAACTTCAGCTACACTTTGTGCATAGAATATGATGGTAAGGAAATGACTAATAATTCTATAATCATAAAGATATGATAAGTAATTCCATAATTCATAATCAAAACACTTTCTTTATATACCTTACAGGTACTGATAAAGGCCCTTTTTGCTGACATGAACAGCACCACTGAAAACTAAGCAAAATTTTCTCTTGATTGGGAAGAAGTGTTCAAAACTTAGATTTCTGCAAGACAGTAGAAATTGCCAAGGTTTAGTGAAGGTATTTTGTACTAGGCTATGCTTTAGTCACTTTATGGGAAGAAATATGAAAAAAAGAAAAAGTAATTGGTGTATTCCTTGCCTTGTTATAGTCTTAGAARAGAGGCCCAAGTGAACTAGGTTGACCCTGCTCCTCCATGTGAGAAGACACAGAGAGAACTTGTCACTTATGAACAAAGAAGGATGGTCTCAACCAGACACTAACTCTGCTGGCACCCCAAAATCTTAAGACTTCCAGACCTCAGAATGGTACAAAGTAAGTTTTTGTTGTTTATAAGCCATTCAATCTATGGTATTTTATTATAGCTGCTCAAGGGGGCTAAGATACTGCTTTCATTTTTATGCTTATTTCCTCATCCATAAAATTAAAATAATAATTGTACCTATTTTAAGATCTTATTCTGAAGACTCATTTTACTGGAAACTATTATTAGAACATTCTATATCCCCAGTTTATGTTGGCCATTACCTTATTATGATTATGTCTACAACTATTATTTGTAGGACATCTAGACCCAAGTCACTGTTCTGACTCTGAGAAGGGCAGAAAATTTCTAATGAATGGAAAACTAAACTTATACTGTTTTCCTGCCCCAAACCTAGGCAATAAATCAATTAAAAATGTTGAAATTAAAAAGCACTTTTCCATATTTACATGCTAATTCCTATATTTGCTACTGTCTACTGTCATTGCTGTGCTCGTAATACATATGTATATGTGTGTATACATATTTATTCTGAAGCTGATAATTTACATTGTGTGTGTGTGTGTGTGTGTGTGTGTGTGTGTGTGTGTGTGTAATTGGAGATTGAACCAGGGCCTTGCACATGCTGGACAAGTGCTCTACCACTAAGCTACATTCCCATACCTGAATAATTTACATTTAAAAAGGGCTTGTTTTCACTGAGCCATCTGTGAGATGAAGGGGAGTACATATGTTTGGAGCAAAAGAGTGAATTTCTATGCAGTAGAAGGCTGGGGGAAAGATGCTAATGTAAAACTACTTATTTTAAAACTATTTGTTGATGTGATTTGATTCACTGGGAAATGGTCACATTAAAATAGGAATTCATTTGAAACTTGATTTTGTTTTGTTTTATATTTGGACTATGGAAACAACTGTCACTTTTTGAATTTAATAAAAAGAAATAGAGTTCTCTTTCTATATTTTTCAGTTTTGCTTTTTTCCTTAAATATCCACAAGTCATAAAAACTACTAGTACTTGCCCTCATATGTACTTCATTAGAAATGAGGTGTGGTAAAAGTTTGGTTGACCGGCTCTTATCCWAAAAAATATTTAAAATTAACTTTTTCACAGAAGCCCATACAGAAGTACAGGCCTATAGTAATACACCTGGGAGTTTGTGACAATAAAATAACAWTGAGCACAAATGGAAAAACATGTGCATACATTTTAACAGAGTCCAAAAAAAAACCAAACCAAACCAAAACAAAACAAAAATCTATGGACTTACTAAGCAATAAGGATATTGGTTTTGTGTACTGAGACAATTAAAAAGCAAACTTGGGTATAACCAATAATAAAAGGAACTTAGGTGACCCACTGGGGTCAAAGCAAATGGCATGGCTATCCAGTAGGTCGTCAATTTTGAAGATCTAAATCTGGATCTATTTGCAAACCATCTGCATATCATGCTCAGTTCATGTATGGAAAGGAAAAATACCTCAGTCGGATTCTAAGGCATAAAGAAACTATTGTTATGTGTGTTATCCATTGCTGTCTCTACTAGAAAGTTCTAAAATAAAAACACTGATCCTTTCTTCTAGGCAGGCATGTACTGGTCCCAAATCTGCAGGTCAGCCCTTAGGGAACAGTCATTTTCAGGGCACTTCCTTGCAAGCTGTATRGCTATATACCCTGCCAATTTTAAGTTGAAGAACCTGAGAATTTTATAGCTTAATTCCAATATTTTAATTCTAGAAACTAAAAGGGCTAACATGAACAAAAACCTTACCAATAGCATTTTAAACCAAATTACTTACAATAATTAATTAATTCTGTGTGAACAGTATCTATTTTTAACTACATGAATGACTATCTAAATCCTTCCTATCAGAGTTTAAAAGAAATAGATTACAGGGGAAATAGTAACCTATAAGAAAAGTMAAAAATAAATATTGACTTTAAAAAGAGAATGTAAATGAAATTATACCAACCAAGGATATAATGTCAGTAATGTATTTAATACCTCTGAAGCATTATTTTGTGTCAATGCAACCTGAATTGATAACCAAACATGGTGGGGAGATAACATTAAAATATTAGAAACCCAACCTGATGTCAACTTTCCTTAAATAGAGGTCCAAAATCTTGTGTAATTGAAACTCAAAATTATCAAACACACCAATTGCATTTTAATTTGACTTTCCTTATTTTGAAATAATGTAATCAGTGAAAAGAGCTTGGTATGGCACTTCACTTGGCAGAGCTGGAACTGGTTTGGGCACAGTACATTCAATAGACCTTGAGAATTTGGCCTGCAGACTGCACAGTGCTGCACAAGATGTAGCTAAAGATTTAACAATTAATGCTCAATGCCTGTCATCATGATTCTCCCTCATCAAAATGCTCTTGATTATGACAAGCAATTCCTGATTTTGTTCAATAAATACACTTTTGCTAATTTGAATTAAAAAAAAAAAGAAAAGGAAACTCTTGTCAATGCCTTTCTGCTATTAATGTGACTCAATGGTCTGACCAGATGCTCAGCCCTACAGCTATGGAATTAAAGAGCTGATGACGTGGTGGTAATGAGATGTATTGGACCAGAAACAGCAAATACACATAAAAGACTGAACTAAAGAATCTGTTCTTTAGCTCTCATGTTGATAAATACTCTTGTAGACTTTAAAATTATTCATCACCTGGGTTCTCTGGGCTTCTAAACTGCCTACTATCACTCTGAAAAAATGGTTCTTGTTGACCTTAGCACCTGCTGCTTTCTCAACTAGGGTCTCCTTCCTGTGCACATACCTGTTCAGATTCTACTCACTCTTGAAAAGAGACTTTCTTACCCATGTCTTTGCTGAAGACTTCA